CCCTAAAGAAAAAAAAAAAAAAAAAAAAAAAAAGACAATCTTTGCATTGGTTCAATGACAAAGGAGATGCTTCTCCTACCTTAGTTCAGTTCAGCAAATACCTCCACGTACTTATAAAGTGCCTGACACTGCATTAGGCTCTGGGGCCAGCTAGGGAAGTAACCAAAGGCCACTGTGTCCCTGCCCTCTAGGGATGTGGAATGGGAGCTACAGAGGAAGGCAGGTGCAAGGGGTGTATGGCGTAGGGCTGAAGACTTCCTGGTGGAAGTGATGTCCAAGTTCATCCTCTGGCTGAGTGTCCCTCCACTTCCTGGGCCACCACCCAGACATACCTGGTGAGTGGAAGCTCAAAGAACTGCTCCTCCTTCCCGGCCTCTGGGTCTGTGTTCAGGTAATCACCACAACAGAAGTGCCACTTTGTGAGACAAACAGACACAGCCACACACACACCCTACCCACCCATGAAACTCCTTTCCATCTCCCACAGGCCTGACTCAAGGCCCACCTGTCCGTCTGCACCATCATCCCTAAGGCAGGACTGTGCTCCTGTCCTCTGGGTTCCCACAACACACCAGTGGCTCTACGGCAGTGCTTACGTTCGAGCAAGCAAGTTGCACATGCTCATATACACACACACCCACAACACGCGCGCGCACACACACACACAGGGAATCGCACTGTATCCCCTGCTGCCCCTTGTACATGGTGGAAAGTCAAAAAGTTACTGCTGAATTCAATTAAATGGGATGTTTTCCTTAAATGCTTGGAGTTTGGAGGTAATTGATGGGCTAAAATATCACAGCCAATTCAAAGCAAAAAAACAGGTAAGAAGTGACTTAAATAAAATAGTGGAGTGTAAAGGGGCCTCCCAGCAGGAGAACTTCAAAAAAGCCTTTGTATCAAGCTTTGTATCAAGCCTTATCTCCACATCTGAAGGTAGAGGCTAGCCATGCCTGGCAGGTATTTTCATCACAAGGACTTGGGGAGATTCAAGTGATGACACTCATGAGGCACCCACACAGAGCCTGACTATGTCCAGGGGCACATACATGCACATGGGCGCACACACATGCAGAGTAAACAGCAGCCCAAGGGCAAGCAGATGACCACGACCACAGTAAGCATTAAGTCTCATGCCAGGACATGGTTCGCACAAACTGTACATGATTGCAAGAAAACTCCGTGAAACCTGTCCTCATGCGCGTGCATCTCTTCCATCTTCCTATTCCATTTCCAAGCTGATTTCACAAACCACTTACAGGGCAGCTGGCAAAGCCCTGTTCTCACTCACCCAGGGTGTCAGAGCCACTCTCCACCGTCTCGTTGACCTTCCTCGCGACTCTGGCCACGGCCTCACCCATCTTCCTCAGCATGCAGACACGGGTGTCTAGCTGCCAGCCGCAAGGCCGGTCTGCTGTTCACAACGGGGCCTGCACCTGGGGAAGATGCAGGGCCATGATCCGCCGCCCACCAGCCAAGGTCCCACTACTCCATGCACCCCAGCATCCTCCTCTCAGGAAGCGCACAGAGAGGGCCCCAGGCCACTCACCTCCTGCAGGGCCCAGAGTCCAGACACATCCAATGGGGCCTTTGGAGTGACTGATCTGTCATTTAGAGGATCGGGACAGCCAGGACCTACTGCTTTTCTGGGAGGATCAACACTGTGATCTCACCACAGTGGGCTGAGCCCGAACCAGTGGCCAGGCCAGCATGACGACTCAGGCGTGCACTAGCCTGTGACTCACTTGATGGGCAGGGCCCTGGGGGGAGGCGAGGAGCAGCCAACTGCAGGAGAAAGACACCTGGACACCTATCCCTCCATGCCACAGCCTCTGAGCCTGAACCCAATACACTTCCCCCCACATCAACTCCTCCAGCTCCCCCATTTTCCTCACCCACCCCTGCCAGGCTTCTCCTGTAGTGCAGGAAGTGGAGACACAAAGGCAAATCAGAGCCCTGAGAGCTGATCAGAGACTCCTCATCTGCCAGAAGGGTGGTCTCTGAGAATTACCTTCCCAGAAGCCAATGTGGAAGGAAGACAACAGTATTGGGACCAGCAGTTAGCGTAATGGCTATGTCGCTGGACTCCCATGTAGTTGACCGCGGTTCACATCCTGGACACGATGGCTTAAAACTCAACGCTGGGCACGTGTGCGTGCGTGCCCAAGATCCTGAAAGGAGAATGGAGGAGAAGGGATTGTGGTGTGGCCATCCCCCTTGGGGGGTGATTTCTCACTTTCTGTCTCTCTGTCTCTCTCTGTCTGTCTGGCAAGCGTATGCACCCTATAGCAAAAACCTCTGGTGTGCCCCCTAAAGAAAAAACCTCGGGGGGGGGGGGAGGGACAACAGTATTAGCCTGCAGACCGGAGCATCAGCCTGATGTTGAGTTAATCTGCGGCGGGGTGGGGGGAGCAAGGGAAATAAGAGAAGGGAAACTGGGTCTCTAGGGGAGAAAAGGCCTAAAGAAGGGTAAAAGAAACAAAATCACATAGTGTTAAAGACACAGATATTTTTTAATTGTAAGGTGCTAAGACAAAGACAAAGAAATGTCCCCCAACTCCCTGTTTAGTGCAGAGAAGGAAACTAAGGCACAGAGAGGGGCTAGGTGGCCTGGTCAAAGTCAGGGTCTATGTGGCAGTAATCAGTTCAGCCCAGCCCCGTAACTAGTGCTCACTTTTTTTTTAATTTACTAGAGGGCACGTGCACTCACTGCAGACAGGGAGAGAGGCAATCACCCTCCATGGGGAATGGTCATGCCAAATCCCTTCTCCATCTCTCCTTCTTTGTGGATTTTGGGCACATGTGCCCAGGGCACTTTTCAAGCCACCAGGTCTGGACTCGAACTGTGGAATCAGCCATCTGGGATCCAGCCGCCTTAATCACCAGGACACAGGCTGGTCCCAGTGCTCACTTCTTTACAAAAGCCACCCACATCCCTAACAGCAGCACTCCACAGAGAGGAATAAACTGGATGCCAAGGTCAGTGCCCCTCTTTGCCCCTGGGACCGCAATCCTAATTTCACAGACAGTTCGAGGCGCTCCACTGAACTCACACCGAGGGCTCAAGGCAGAAGAACATGAAGGGCTGCAAGAAAGGACAAGGGACAGAGGAGCTGCGAGGAAACACCAAGAAAACGTCTCCATGTGCTCAACTGTCACGCCGGGGCAGCCAAGCCCAACCATCTGCTCGGGGAGTTAGTACTCTGTGTGTGCCTTTTGCCAAGGAGGCTGACTCAGAGGTTTGAGAGACGACGGATGGAAAAAGACTATTTTCCAAGACAGACCAAATATGAGATCTATTTATGAGCTGAGAAGCCTGAGAGGGTTTATAACTACTCTGTGAACCCCGGCTTCTTCATCGGAGTAGGAGATCTAGTAATGCCCACCTCACTGGGTTAATGTGTGGACTGAATATAGGCACCTGTCAGGTCAGAGCCCAGGACTTGTAAATATGCAATAAATGCCAGTTGAGCAGATAGAGCAGTACGGTACATTTGTCACACCAGGATCGAATCCCAGTTTAATAGTTTAATACTTGCATGACTCCGAACAAACAAGTTTGAAGAATGAGTTACCCTCTCTCCACCTTCAGGAAGTCTTCCCTGATTACCCCAGCCCTCAGCGTTCTCTCTTCCTTCTGAGTTTCAGTAGCACTTAATGACTCAGCACAAGTCTCATGGGTTGCTTACGGGCTCCCTGAAATATACATAAACATATCTGTCTCCCCCGTTGCCCTGTGGGCAGCCTGGGGCAAAGCGGATCTGGATTGTGCTTTTCTCTGCATTTAACACCACACACTGAACACAGATGCCGCCCTGACGGTGGTAAGAAGGGTCAACAGACATATCTGGGTTTCAAATCTGAATACAGGTCAGATGACTCTCACAGCGGTCTAACTGAAAAGGGTCAGTTTCAAATGCCTAAAGGTGCCAGGTGGGCAACCTGCATAAGGAAGGTCAGCCTTAAACAGCAGGGAATAGGAAGGATGAAGACAAACCAGACCCCAGACCTTCACCATGCTGTCGTTGAGGCCATTACCTAAGCCTAAACTCCAGCAGTGTCAGGGATCTTGGTGATTTATTCTAACCAAAAAGGGAGGTGCATCAGCTAGACAGAAACAAAAACAAATACTAATTCTCGGCCTTCTCACCTGGTTCTCTCCCTTTTTTTTTTTTTTTTTTTTTTGGAGAGGTTTTTGCTACAGGGCGTGTGTGCTTGCCAGCCAGACAGAGAGACAGAAAGCGAGAAATCGCCCCCCAGGGGGGATGGCCATGCCGCAATCCCTTCTCCTCTGTTCTCCTCTTGGGATCTTGGGCATGTACGCACGCGCGCACACCGTGAGTTTAAGCCACTGGGTCCGGAACGTGAACCGCGGTCAGCTACATGAGAGTCCAGCGACATAGCCATTACACTAACTGCTGGTCCCTCACCTGGTTCTCTTTCCACCATACCATTCCTTCTTTCCTCATCTCTAACATCCATCATTAATAACCACATTTATGAAGGTCTACTCAGTATAGGGAATAAGAATGAAGAAGGGGGAAAGAAATCTAGGAAATAGCTCTGGTTTGTAATTCTGACGAGGAAGAGCTTTCTGAAGAATGGCACCACGGCCATTTTGGGGTCTGTGCTACTCTGGTAAAAATCAGCTAGGCTAATTATACGTTCCATTAGGTACTATTTTGCTACACATATCAGGTAATATGTCGCACTTCTATTGTTGTCACAGGGTGGAGGGATACTTTAAGACACCAATGAAAACTCATCCAATTAAAAATGTCACCACTGATGGCCAGCTCAGATGCCCTATGACGTGGGTCAGAGTGGACAAAGGAGCAGGAACAGGGACATGTAAAGTCTGGGTGTCCGAGCAATTCAGTAGGAGGAAGGGCCCCTTGTATTCAGAAGAAGCTCTGGGCACGACACAAACGTGCCCTAGACCGCCGAAGGTTCACGCTGTCTAAAATCACCACCCTTACTAACTGGTTGGAAAAACGACTCTTCGTTTAAAACGAGCCCTTTCCCCACAAGAATGTCTTCACAACGTCCAGCTGCCCGTCGCTCCCAGGCCAAGTGACAGAGGCTTGCCACCCTTTGGCACAGGCAGAGCTGTGAGCTGGAAGGGTGGTAGGGCATTATGCTATAGGGCTCAAGGTGGGGTGTGGAGCCCCAGACAGAGGGAAGAACAAACCTGGGATGACGAGGCTGGAGTGGACTCCTGAGCCCCCAAAACTAGACAGACAAGATTGTCAAGCTTCATTTACTTCACTTCATTTTCATCCCAAGGCTGGGTCTGTTTGACAAAAAAATTAGAAGAATGTATTTAGCATGTTAATAGGAGTCCAGAGAAGGCTGAGCTCTGGAGCTGGGGAGGTGGGAAGTAAGAAGTGAAGAGAGGGAGAGTAAATAAAGAAAGCTGTTCTTTTCTTTTTTTGTTTTAAATTGGTTTTGAGAAAACCAGAAAACTCTGCAAATCATACAAAGGACAGAGCACCAACACACCTCTGAGTGCAAAGCCCCCTAGGCAGGGCTGTCCCTAGACAGTGAGGGCCTCCTCTCTATGTAAACAATTCGAGTCAACCCCAAAACATCATATCAGCACCAGTGAACAACCCATCCATAAGGCAGCCCTCCTGGAACTAAAATACAACCATGGGGCCCCAAGACAACTCCCTAGGCCCTCATGCTGTGTTCCTCAAGGCATCTGGTCAACCCTACATAGTGAGGTGGTAGCAGTAGAAAGTTGGAGTGTCCCAAGGGGGAGAAACAGGAAGCATAAGCCCACATGGGTGTGATCTGGCTTAGAGTACCCCGGCCAGATGGCACTGAAAGGGGAGGCATGGAAACTGCTGAGGAAAGCCACCCTAGTCACAGAGACCCCTCGGCACAGCTCTCAGCTCTTGCACTGGTGCTGTCCCCAAAGCCTGTTCCTCTGCACTCACATCCAACTCCCCCTCCCCCAGAGTGTGCTTCATGGTCCCAGGAAATGCTTAAATGCAACAAACATTTCCAGGGCACCTTCTGGAAGGCCCACACTGGGAAATAAAGGTACAGAGCAGGGTACAGGCAGAACAACCATCCTGCTGGGAGGCAGATGAGCTAGATGCCAGCACAGGTACCTGCCAGGCCCAGGGCCATGCTGGCACATGGCATGGCCTGGGAGAAGGAACAGAGACAGGGTCTGAGCAGCGGGGAGCACAAAGAGATACAGGAGAGAAGGGGACAGGCAACCAGTCTGATCCTCGGTTACTGGGGAAGGGACTGGTGCCTCCTACTAGACTGCCCCATGTTGCTGGGTAGGACACTAAGAGGAGATTTTTGAGGATAGCAGCCTAATCCAACCACAGTTTTGGGAAGTTGACAGCAGGTGAAAGGCTCATTTGTCAAATGGCAATACCACCTTCCTCACAGCAAGGCTGTGAGAAGGAACTGATAGGTAGCTTTTTAGAAGGAACTTTGCAAACCATTGTACTTCCCAAATGAAGGCATTACCAACTGGAAGTTAAGCAGGCACAGAAAGTGGGGATAAAATGCCCCCTTTAAAAATTGTCCTCCGTTTTGGGTGCTATCCATATGGACCTCAGGGCCTATATCCTAGCTTCATGGGCCAAGGCTGGGAGGGGTGATTTTGCTTAAACCCTGACCACGGCTCCCTGACTTCCTGCTTTACCAACAAGAACTCTACCTTCTCTGCAGCCCCAAGATCTCTGCAAAGGAGCCACGACACCCATCCGCACCAGCTGCTCTGTATTAGTTACGGGTGTGGTAAACTGGGAACTTCAGCGCCTGGCAGCCACTCTGACAGGCAACCAGAGCCTCCTGAGCCATGAGTGCAAGCTGCCCCACCTCTGTCTCCATCCGGGCCTCTCAACTATGCCAAGCCCAGGAGTGGGTGCAAAAGGTGAGAAGACTCATTCGAGCCAAGTAGCCCCAAAGGCCCATTGGAGATCAGAACAGAGTTGACCCACTTTCCCACCCAAGGGAAAGAAGCCCGCTGGGGCAGGAACGAGACTCGCTGGCTCCTTGCTTCAGCTCCGTAGGGTTCTGGGAGCGCGCGACATGCTCCTTTGTGGGCATACAGGAATCCTAGAACTGTGTGCCTCCCAGGACTCTGTGCCGTGGCCAGCCCAGTGTCCCTGCTTCCCGTGCGCCAGGGGCCGGCCCTCACCTCTGGTGCCGGCCCTCACCCCTGGTGCCTGCAGCCAATGGTTCCTCCTCTCCGGTTCTCTGCTTGCCGGCAGAGGACTAGAGAGAATAAAGCAGGAAAAAGGAGTAATATGAGTGACTGCAGAGGGCCGCGGTCTCCCGCGTTGCCCGGAGACCGAGAGTCACGTCTGGGGCAAGCGTCTGCAGCTACCCCGAGCGGAAGCAGACCCGGAAAATGTCGTTTCTGGGACAAAACACACAGCAGCCTTTCCCAGCAAGGAAAAGAGGCCCGCCCGGGCGCGCTTCCCTGGGTTCCCTATTTACTGGCACCGCTGCACCCACTCCCCCGAGCCATCCGGGTCCGGCTGCAGTTGCAAGCCAGAGCCGGCGCCGGGCGGG